AATAAACACTTCCAAATTAATGGTATATGTCACCTGAAATAAATGCAGTTCAGAAGATAAATACATTATAACTAAAGGTACAATATGAATGTGTCGATCATCCAAGTGTCATATATGGGTCGCCTGTCAAAAAGTATAAGAAAGATACAAATTTGGGGGAGTGAGCTAGGGAGCTCAGTGTGTTCCAACAATGCAGAAATAAACAAACAATTTAGATTTCAAAACCAGTTCATCAAGAAAGTCATGAAACATCGGTAAAGGTTTCAAAATGAGCTCAATTTCAAATTGTGAAAACGTCAGTAGAGTTTTTATTTTAAAATTTCAGAATCACCCTCCAACAGAATACCATATGCAATTCCCCTGGAACTGCGTCCATAAGGACTTACCCTAGGCCCGAAGGGCGTAGGTGCCAACCTAAGGAGCACCTTGGGTCCATAAGGTCTTGCCTTAGCCGAAGCGTAGGTGCCCACCTGAGGGGAGTGCCCTCAGGCCTATAAGGACTTACCCAATGCACACAGTAGATGATCCACCCTAAGAGAGTACCTTAGGGTCCATAAATTCTTACCACTAGGCCTAAGGGCCCACCCAAGAGTTGCCTTAGGTCCATAAGGAATTACCAACTCGATCGGTCTGAACCTATATAAGGAATTACCAATTTAACCGAGCTGAGCTTGCAAAGACTTCATACCAGATCCCAGAGTACCCTAGAGAAAAATTATTTACATACAATATTCAGTGGTAGCAGGAAATCATAGTTCAGACAAATTTATTTATCAATAAAAACAATAATCAGAGAACATGAATCATACAACCAAGCTTAAATCTTTGTAAATCATAAATCAGACTTTAAATCAGATAAATCATATAGAAAAAAGTCAAACATATAGTCACATTGCAAATCAGATAAAATAGTCTTGTGCACATGATATTTCAAACATATGTTTCAAACATATATATTGCACATAAGGAATACACTTTGCAAAAAGTATCAATCTGGGATATATATCGAACACCGACTTCACTAGGCTCTTCGACTGGACGGGAACTTAAGTTATTACAAAACAGATTATAATCAGACTAAATACTAAACTAAATATTCAACAGTGTTACAGAACTATACGAGTATTCACGGGCTCTCGCGGAAGAGCAAATTGGGAGGAATTAGGTCGAGCAGGTGAACAATCATGAGATCCACGAGTACCTTGAATATTCGATAACATAAATTAGTCCTTGTTCATTCAGTTAAAATTGATGCACTAAAATAAATACTTAATTTACAAATGCACATTCGAGTTTAACGGTCAATTTGGAGGCTTTTGGGTTTGAATTTTGTAAAAAGAACTTCAGATTCAGACTCAGGATGTCAAAAAACATAAAATATGACTTTTTGAAAATTTAATTTTTTTGGTCAAAGTCAAATCAACAGTCAACTCTAGTCAAAGTCAACGGGTTGGGTCAAGTCAGCGGTTTGGGTCAAAGTCAACGGATCAGATTAGTTTGGGTTGACTCGATTTCTAGAAGAAACCAGAGTGGGGAACGAGCCCCACGCGCCCATAGCGACGCGTGACGGTGACGACAGCGATGGGGTGATCGGTCGAATACTCCAGGAGCTTCACTCAACCATTTACAACCAAAATTTAACCAAAAATCGACATGAAACCGCGTCAAAATACCAAAAATTCAACATAAACTTACCCAACGCCGGTGATAGAGAAAACGACGACAATAGGCAACGAATCCGGTCGGGTTTTGAGCGCACTGATTAAGGGAGATCGATGGTGCATGCAGTAAAGCGCGACAATGACCGAGGTGATCGAAATCGAAGCAAAATCGAGGTGTCAAGGGGTTTTGTCCGGCGAGGCTTCTTCGGTTTAAATACGACAATTTATGGCCAATTACAGAACGAGGTTGGAGGGATTTTTGGCGTGGGAGACCACTGGTTATGCTAGTTAGGTCGGCGTCAGCTACAAAAGTCAGACGGAGAGGAAACCGACGAAGGGGTTGTGGTACTTTGGGGGTTTAAGGATTTGAGGATTTATGGGGATGGGTTTTTTTTATTTGGGTAATTTTAAACCCTAAAATAAAATAAAATAAATATATGTTTTATTATTTTAAACACAAATAGGGACTTTGTCGGTTGGTAGGGGCAAGGCTGACCATAACTTAGGTTATAGGTTCAAGCTTGGCTAGCCCCCCTAACTCCCTTTTTTTATTTTAGCTAACAGATAGATGAGTATTGGTAATTTTTAGGGTTGGTCCTTGGATTTCCCATATAACATCCTCAATATCGGGTTAGTGATCAAATTATGAGATTTTAAATTTCAGTGACCAAATTAGATAAATTGAGAAAATTGAAGGATTTAATTAAAACATTTGGTGAAGGGTGAATTAGCAAAGGAATGAAGAAGAAAGGGGTAAACGAGTCATTGAACAAAGAAAATAATTAAATAATAATAAGTGTGGGTATTTTAATACCCATGTGGAACATGTTTGGGAAACAAATGTTTCCAGGTTTCTCTTTTTCATCTTCTTTCTCTAACTGTGATGCATACAAGCAAAGGTGAGTTTCTTAATTAGTTGAGTATTTCCTGAATTAAAGGTTAGGTTATGATCCTTAGGTGATACTTAAGTTTAATGAAAGCTTATGTTGTCTTATAATCAAAAGATGAAGAAGTTATAAGAGATTAAATAGAAGGGTTGTTTAAATGAATTTCTGGAAAAGAGTTGATAAGTTGAATTCTAAACTAAATTTGACTTGTCATCAACCTAATTAAGAGATATGAAGTGTTAGAAATGGAATTAGAACATGTTGCAAAGTTGGTGTAATTTGAGGTGATAAATGAGTGGTAATTGATATAAGTATATGGATGTGAGTTAGGAATATGTAAGGGGATGAATATGAAGTTTTTGAGCTAAGTTGACTAATTTTTATATATAAAATGTGAATTATGGGCTGGTGTGTATCTATACACATTCAACATGTATCTATACATCAAGGGTAAATTTCCAAAAAATAGTCAGAGTGTACTGATACATAGGTAGTGTAACGATACACACGTTAAGGAATGTACTGATACACTATAGAGTGTACCGTTACTTACTTTAAATAAGAATGAAAATAGCCTTTCTTTTAGTTTAAGGAATGAAAGGTTAGAGTATACTAATTAGAATACTGATATGTATAAATGTATTATTATATATATATATATATATATATATATAGAACGTAATCCCGTTCCGGAAAAATCGAAGAATTATGATTGAATCAACGCAAGCAAGGCCAAGGTGAGTGCATAATATAAATGGAAATAAGACTTGCAATGAGTCTATTTCCTAGGTCAATTTCGTAGTATAATAGTTATGAACATGCATACATTATAGTCTTTATTAAATATGCATAAGTCATATAGGTTTACATATGATTTGATACATGTTATATGACTCATGTTATATAATATAAGATGGATGGTTATACGTACATGTGAACGTGATTGAAGAAAAGACATATGTGATCACAAAGGAAATGACATGAGTACATGTCAAGAGTCGAGGGTTTCATAGGTCCTTCGGGACACCTTCACAAGTCCTTCGGGACAAAATTTCATATGCCACTAAGTGGGATTTATACGAGCTATGGTGACAGCAGATGTGCACAACCTCTATGTACTCGAATACCTTATGTTCTCAGTATATAAATGGGCCTATAAATCATATGAAAAATGTGTATTGTCTTATATGTTATAGTATTAGTATTGTATATATATTGAATCATAGGAAATGATATAGAATTCTGATTACTATATTGCTTGTTCATATTCATAAGAAATGCATTATCATTATAAGTTTAAGTCTCACTAAGTCTATGACTTAGCGTGTAAGTGATTTACACGTAGGTACACAAAAGCAAGAAGATCGATCTTAAGAGCAGCAAAGCAGCATATCATCTTTTGTAGATCAGATCAGAAGAACCTTACACAATATGTTTGTTTATGTAATATATGTGTTGGCATGTAAATAGAGTCGTTTAGTAAGTATGCTCTGATAGACTTTTGTAATGTTTTAAACATATATATGTAAATGATAACTTTATGGTGATGAACGTTTAAATTTTTATGAGTTTTAAATATGTTTGGCCGAAATTACTGTAGCAGGGTATCGATACACTGTATTAGGGTATCGATACCCCTGTAGCATTCTAGAAATTTTTTAAAATCGGTAATGTTCATTACTGTTCACGGTATTGTTCATACCGTATAGTACTATTCATAAAAACATTTCTTTCCTTAAATTTGTTATAACGAACATAATTCAACGATATATTATCGTATTTTCTTAATATAATTCAAACGTTTTGTATTTTGTAAAAATATTGTTTTAAAAAGTCAATGTGACATATTAGACTCGTATCTGGGTCGAGTACGAGTTGGGGATGTTACATCCCAAACTTTCGAATTTAACTTCGAAGTTTTAAAAATTTACAGTTTACTTTGAAAAAATAATTAATTAATTTTAAATAAATTGGGGGGGGGGTGAAAGACATATTCAAACTTAACACTTAACACTTAACACTTAACAAATAACAACAATCTCGAAATTATTGATGTTGCTGAATTGATAACCATGCTATTACAAGCCCTCCGGTGGGGACCTAAAACTGCGTGCGAAGTTGACTAAAAGAAAATTGAATAAATAAATTAGAAGAAACAAACAAACGAGTTGTGATACGCGAGGGGGTGTGGCATTTAGCAATTGATATTTTCATAACTGTAATGGGTTTTCAACCCTAAGTGGGTTGGATTGGGTATATGAAGATTCATCGCTTTAACATCCAAATAAAAAAATATTAAATTTGTTTTTCACTAGATGGGATAATATTTTATATCGTTTCACACGCGACTCCTGGAGAGGTCTTATTGGTTGAGTTTTTAAATGTTATCATATACCCTCTAAGGCTTTTGTCAGGACCTTTAGAAAGGGGCCAGTCTCTTAAAGCTTAATATATGGGGCTTAGAGCCCTTGTATTGCAGGGTCTAAACAGGGTGAGATTTTCAAATCAGGGTCATGGAGATACAGTGTTCCGATGCTCTGTGGCTGTGAAGAGAGAGAATCAAAGGAAACACAGAGAGATGTGAGCTCCTTTCTATGACAAAATGGAGTGAAGAGGTGCTTGGAGTGCTGAAGATGAAAAACTACGCTCTTATATCCAAAGATTTGGTCATTGGAACTGGCGTGAGCTACCCAAGCAAGCTGGTAACCCATGCTTCCATTTCTGCTAACAAAAATGATCTATATTATCTTATTTCTTCAATGCCATCTTTTTTCTTTAAGAATGAAATGTTCACTTCTTTCTCCAATTTTTAGTAGATGTATAACCTAAATGAAAAACAGAACATGAGTTTTTTTTGGGTAAATTATATCTTTAGTATTTAAATTATTAATTTTGATCAATTTTAATACCTAATTTTTTTTAAAAAAAATTCAAAACCATATCCGACGATCGGTTCTTGTTTCATTTCAGTAAAAAAAAATTCAAATTACTCCTAATTTAATCATTAACTTTCAAATTTATTTATTTTTATTTTTAATTATATATTACTAAAATAATAATAATAATGAAACTTCATAAAAATTATTAATAAAATAAATTAGAGTAATTAAGATAGGAACATTTTGAAAGTTGAGTGGTTAATTTTTTTTAAATTTAAAATCAAAAAAGAAGTGAAAAAATAGTTGGATGATAAATAATGTAATTTACCCATTAAAAATTTCAGTTTCATTAGATTTTTAACGACGAGATACTAAAATGAGACAAATTAAATATTAGATATAATTTTAAAAAAAATTAAGAGTTTAAATACTAAAACGAATTAAAATTAATAATTTAGATACTAAACTTAAATTTTTCTCTTTTTTGAGACCCAAGAAAACAAAAAATACTTCTACAAGTACAATACAAATAATAACCAACCAAAACTACTGTTGAAAGTACAATACAAACAATTAAGGGTGAGAAAAATTTGACTCAATTCGAAAATTTGAATTTTTCACCTTGATTCGAATTGACCTCGAGTTACAATTTGATAAATTTGATTAGAAAAAATTTTAAGTTCAAATCAAGTTGTAAAATACAACTCGAATAACTTAAAATTTTAGTAATTATTAGGTTTATTTTCAAGTTTAAATCGAGTAAATGGGCTTTGTATAATATATTTATATCACGTATAAAAAAATATAAAAAAAATATATTTATATATAAAGTCACTAAATTGAAATTAAATAATATTATAAATATTACAATTAAATTTAAATATAAACTTCAAAAATCAACTCGACTTAATTCGACTCAAATCAATTTATCTTAATAGATAAAACAATAATTATTATTGTTAGAGACGATAAGTTTAAGCACCACAACTTCAACACCTTCTTCCATGTCTCTCTATCAAAGTTACAATAAAAAAAACAAATGACCACGTGATTCCAACCTCCCCGGAGTAGAAACAAATTAATTATTTTTACTTGTTGGACCACTTATAAAATTGAAGGCTTTTGATAAAGGTTTAATTTTGAATTTCACCCCTCTAACTTTGCTAAATTTTGTTAAGGTCTTCAAAGGTGCGGAAAGAGTTGCAGATTAAGGTGGTTGAATTACCTCCGACCTGAAGTAAAGCATGGAAGCTTCACTGAAGAAGAAGATGCCTTGATCTTGAAACTACACCAAGAATACGGAAATAGGTTAGATTCAGTTTTAACTTCTCATCATTAATAAGTTGAAAATCGAGTCGGAAGTCAAATCAATTCAACTTTCGACTTGGTTTCAACTAACTCAACTGTGAAATAAATTAAAAATATATAATTTAATTAAAAATTAAAGTTATAGTCACGGTAGGTTTTAATAATCAAGTAACTCGACAGTAATTAATATAGAGGAACCTGACACAAGCATGCAATCGTCATGTTGCTGATACACGTTTATTTTAGTTAAGCAATTCCATTAAATACACAGATGGTCGATGATTGTTGCAAGTTTACCGGGAAGAACTGACAATGAAATAAAAAATTATTGGAACCGATTAAAAGCACGTGAAAAATGTAAGCCGACATCATCTACGGATCAATCCCGGAGTGAATCCTTGTCCACCCACAGTTTTGATGGTGAAGCCGAAAGCATCTGTATTGATATCCCACCCAACATGATACTTGAGAGCTCGGCCTTGGCTCCCGCAGTAACATCATCGACTGTCGAATTGTCCTCCTTGAACATGATGTCGGGGAGGTCGGCCTTGTCTCCTACAACACCGTCGACTGTCGAATTGTCTTCAACCAGCCCGGTTGTCGACAATGGATATACGTCGAGCTTAAATGTTGGAGGCAGCGGTGCGGAGGATGTTTGTCTCCAGTCGTGTTCTTCGGTAATGTATGAAGATCTTATCGGTGGAGATTTTTGGAGTGAGCCGTTTGTGGCGGAGAACGATCTTCCATTGCATTGTGAGATTTATGATGATGATTGTGTTGATTTGTTTTTTTATCAAATGATGGACGAGACCAACCTATTTTTCTACCATAGTTAATAGTGTGAGCCATTTAGCCTTGACTTAAATATATGTTGTTTATAATATTTAATTGTGTCTTTATTTAACCTTATATAAGTTGCTGTATCATATAATCACCCTGTACATGCACTTACAATTCAAGAATGATTATGTGCTTGCATTTATATACATTGAGGCTACCTTTTATTCATGTAATATTTTTTTCAATTTATTTTTATGTTTACTTGACGCAAAATATTTATATAACTTAATCTATTTTTTTAAGTTAATATGAAATGATTTATAGTGTTTAAAAAACTGTATTGTTTGAATTTCGATGGTATATCATCTATAAAAAATTTATTTATTACTCATATTTTAAAAGATGTTCATAAATTAAATCCGACTAAATTCGGATCTAACTTTAACATAATATTTAGTTATTTACATACTTCTATCAAGATGTTGTAGGTGCATGCGCAAGACTCGTGCTACATCCTCCGTAATTCTACCCTCCGACTTTTAAGCTCGATGTATATCTGTCGTCGACAACTGGCTACGGAAGACAATACGACAGTCGACGATGTTAGTGCGGGAGAGAAGGCCGAGCACTCAAGTATCATGTTGGATGGGATATCATACATATGCTTTCGGCTTCACCATCAAAACTGTGGGTGGATAAGGATTCACTTCGGGATTGATTTGTAGATGATGTCGGGTTACATTTTGCACGTGCTTTTAATATAGTGTGCCGGTGATTTTTATTTCGTTGTCAGTTCTTCCCGGTAAACCTGCAGCGATCATCGACCATATGTGTTTTTGCATATTTAAAACATGGAATTAGTTAGCTAAACTACTCTTGTATCAGCAACATGACGATTACATGCTTGCGTCAAGCTCCTCTATAATAATTAATGTCCGGTTACTTGATTAATAAAACCTACCAATATATATCTCTTCCAAAATATATTCTCAAGTGAAATTTAATAAAATGGAAATACGAAGATGAATAGAGTGATAGAATCTCCATTGTTCTTGGTTGCCACATATCAGTGTGTGTAATAGAATCTGCATATATTCGCTAGCTTTTTCTTTCTGTAAATGAATATATCCCTCCTTATGAACACACATATGTATGTATGTATGTATCCCTCTTTATGAACACACACACATATGTATGTATATATCTCTCCTTTGACTCCATCTCCTTCCTACCATCTCCTTGACTATTGAACTAAAAAATTGTCAACTAGGTCACGAAACTTTAGGTTAATCGAGCTATTTGTCATTAAATTTCAACGAAAATTGATAGCTAGGCTCATTTTTAATTAGGATGATAACACATTTTTTTTCTCATTACTTATACATTCTTTCATTTAGGTTTTATTTTTCAAGCCTAATTTAACTTTCCCAACATAATCTTGCACCAATTATACTTTAACTTAAACTAATTTATCAACTATAAAAATAAATTCGTAGCTTGGTGCAGCGGTTAAGTATTACTTTTCCTCGAGGTCTTAGATTTGATCATTTCAAATTTAATATATATTTTTCTAAGTTTTTAATAAGACAATGACACATGTCGTCATCTTATTAGATAAATTATTTTATATTAAATTTATGATCAAATTAAAATGTATACATGAAATGAGGATTAAATATATTATTATCTCTATTAAAACCAAACCATATTATCCGTTTTTAAAAAAATAAAAACAAATAGTTCAATTGGCATCAGAATGAAAACTTAATGACTTAATTAACAATTTTTTTATTAGTTCGAATGATTAAAAGGATTCCACCTTTTCCCACATGAATTGTATCTATCATATGTATATATTAAAGATCCTAAGTTGTTTTATATACATTATCAAGTGTTAAAATTGACCAATTTCTTCCATGTATCATTAACGCACAAAAATTAATCATTTTTATTTAAAATCGAATATTTTATTGAGTTTATGAAATGATCTCAGTAATAAAAGAGAACGTGTTCTTCTTAAATTACTCATAATCAAGTAATTATATCTGCAAGTGTATATATATTGTCAATCAATAAGAACGATTTTAACATGTAATACCTTATGATTATCCTAGAATATTAAAACGTGAATAATTTTTTAGTTTTAATGTTAATTCAATTAAGTTTTATCTCAATCCTTCAATTTGTACAGTTTAATTATTCTTTTTGGATCTTAACAATTTCAAAACTAGATAAATTAAATCTTAATTATATTGTTTTAATTTAAATATTTCTACATGTTATGAAATTATAATACGATATATAATTCAAACATTTCTAATACAAATAAGATAAAATTAAATTTCATTATATTATATTTAATATCAAATTTTAATTTGAAATTCAAAATATAAACAAGCTTAAAATGTTTAAGAGGTAATATAAAAAAAATAAACATACATTTTGTCTAATTTATTTTTATATGCATTTACTCATAAATGATTTAAGATATAAAGTGAAATTTAATTGATTTTATGCATAATTTTAGATAAAAAAAAAAAGAAGGGGTAATTTTTTTTAGGTTTAATGCTATTGTTATAGTCAAAAAAATCTTACCTGCTTGGATCAAATATAGAGCTTAGAAATTCTCTGTAAAAAAGGTAAAACACGTATAATAAGTATAATCAAATGGATAAATCAAGTTTTAGTCCCTAAATTCAATACATGCACATGTCCTGTCTGTGTCCTGCTTTAATTTTCTTTTTTCAAATTATATTAGTATCGTACAATCATTTCTTGTTCGGATTTGACAAGTCTAATTGACTTTTTAAATGATAACTATTGTCATGTCAATGCCACCATAATTTTAATTTTTAATAAATTACATATTTAATATCTAAATTATTAGTTACGATTTATTTTAGTATTTAAATTTTTAATTTTTTTAAAATTATATTTAACATTTGGTTTTTATTTTATTTTAGTATCTTAGTACGAAAAACTTAATGTGATTAGTATATAAATTATCAGTTTTGATTCGTTTTAGTATTTAAACTTTTAAAATATCATAACTTAACGTTAAATTTTAAACGGAATACTAAATTGAAACAAAAAATTTCAGAATAAGTACAATTAATAAGATACGTAATTAATAAAAAAATTATAATTTTAAGATGGACAACTTAGGATTAGTTTGGCACAGTTTTTGAAAAGCGACTTTTAAAAGTACTGTGGGAACGAACTTTTAAAAGTATTGTACAAAAAGTGCAGTTTAAAATTTAGCTGTTTGATATTGTTGTTAAAAAGCGAGTTTGAAAATGTCGTTTTATTCTTTCTCTTTGATATTTGTTTAGCAGGCAACAACACTAATCTTAATGTTGGTTACCGACCGCCGATGAATATTAGTTTTCTTATTTTTTATATTATGTTTTTCTATTTTTTTAGTCTTTTTAATTTTGAATAAGCATCTCTGTCCTTGTGATGATTTTTCTCTGCTCTTGTAGCACACGTTTACTCTTCTCTTGTGACACGATCTTCATATTTTTTGGTACGTTTTTTCGTATACTTTTGCAGTTATTTTGGTTCTTGCACAAAAGTCATCACAACATTTGTTTTTTGATTGGTTAGTCGATTGTCCCATATAGTCATTTTGATCTATTTTAGTACTTAAACTATCAATTTTTAAATGTTTTAGTACTTAATTATTTATTTATTTTTTTCAAAACTTTACGTTAAATTTTGAACGGGATACTAAGGGGTGTGTACTAAAATGAAACAAAAACTAAACTTTAGATATGATTTTGGGAGAAATTTGAAAGTTTAGATACTAAAATGGATCAAAATTACTAGAGTAGGTACTAAATGCGTAAGTTACCCTTTATATATATATATATTCTTTATGTACTTGTTGACATATTAATATATTCTTTATGTATGCAATCATATTCCTTTTGAAATTATTAAGTTTTATAATGATTGAGTTTGCCTAAATAAAATTTTAATTTACTGCAAAATTTCTAATGTCATGTGCTATACATGTTATGAAATTATAATGCGATATAATTCAAACATTTCTAATACAAATAAGAAAAAAAATTAAATTTCACTATATTATATTTAATAACAAATTTTTTTTTAAATTCAAAATATAAACATGTTTAAAAAGTTTAACACTTAATATCAATAAAAATAAATACAATTTTTCTCTAATTATTTTTATATGCATTTAGTTGTAAATGATTTAAGATAAAGTGAATTTTTGATTTATACATAATTTTAGATAAAAAAAAATATGTTTTTAACCAATATATTTTGCAAACTATGAGATTTTTTGTTTCTCAATAATAAAGTATGAGAGTCGGTCTTATTTTTTTTATTTAAAAAAAGGAAAAATTATGCATTTAGTATCTAAACTACAAGTTTTACCTAAAGTTTTATCTTTTTCAAAGTTTAGTTTTTGTTTCATTTTAGTACCAATGTTAAAAACTTAACATTAAATTTTGGGGGAAATAAAAGTTTAGGTAATAAAGCGGACAAAAACTGATAGTTTATGTATTAAATTCGTAAAGTTTTTAATTACGGGTACTAAAATAAATCAAAAACTAAACGTTAGGTTCTAAATGCATAAGTTACTCTTAAAAATATTATATCAGTCGTTAACAACATAAGTTTTATTCTCAAAATTTGCTTATTATCGGATTTATTTATTGAGTTCATAATGATTTATTTTAAAAGTTGGTATAATTATATACGTGCATTGATAACACTTTTAATTAAAAAAACGTTAACAATGACATCGCAAGCTAATATCCACCTACTCAATTGACTAAAAATTATAAATTAACCCGAATTAAATAATTTCGTTGGTAAATGAATTATTATTATTTATTAAGGTCTCGGATCCGAATATCAATAATACCTGATGTGTAAACGTTTAATATTAAATAATTAAAAATATTTTTTAAACAAATACTGTTTTATATTAACTTATACAAGTTTAATTAAAAAACCAATTATAATATATTTTTTTTGGGGTAAAATTCATGCATCTCTCAAAGTCAACCTTCCAATGTCCAAGGAAACAAAAAGGAAAATGATATTGCTAACGTTAATTGGTTTGAACTAGAAAGTCTGTCGATGCAATTAATAATTCACATAATAATTTTCCTCTCGGTAGATGTGCAAGGTTGAAAACCACATACTATCGACATTGAATACCATTGTTTTGAAAATCGGATCGGATCGGCCGATTCAACCGATGTCTGGTCTGATTCATTATATTCTGATTAAATCG